GGAGCCAGCTAGGTAGAATAGTCTGTGAGGCTCTTATCTCCAATAAATTACTCAGAAAAAGCTGGAAGTAGTGTTGTGGCTCAACTGGTAGAATACTAGCCTTGAGCAAAAGCAGCTCAAGGAGCTGGGCGCCGGTGGCTCACGCTTGTAACCCTAGCTACTCAGGAGGCTGAAATCTGAGGATCATGGTTCAAAGCCAGCAGGAAACTTTGTGAAACTCTTATCTCCAATAAACCATCAAAAAACTGGAAATGACGCTGTAGCTCAAGTGGTAGAGCGCTAGCCTTGAGCTGAAGAGCTAAGGGACAGCAATCAGGCCCAGAGTTCAAGCCCCAGGACTGGCAAAAAAAAAAAAAAAGCTTCCCTTTTATTGTATTCTAATCTTAAATCTCATTTAACCCAATTCTTCTAACAGTCCTAAGAGATTTTATTCTCATTTTGTGGATGAGCAATTTGGGCTCAATGGTTACATACTACCACTAAAATCACATAGCTGGGAAGTGGGGGAATCAGACTTGAAATCCTGAATTCCTTTTTTTCTTTTTTAACCAGTCCTGGGGCTTGAACTCCAGGCCTGCACACTGTCCAGGAGCTTCTTTTTGCTCAAGGCTAGCACTCTACCACTTGAAACCACGGTGCTACTTCTGGCTTTTTCTATTTATGTGGTACTCAGGAATCAAACCCAGGAGTTCATGAATGCTAGGTAAGCACTCTATCACTAAGCCACATTCCAAGCCCGAGATCCTGAATTCTTCAACCCCATATAACTTAGCACTATAGAATCTACTTCATATGGTGTCTGTGAGGCTTATACTCACTCTGTAAATAAGTGATTGTTATGGTACAATGCCCAAAATATAGAATTCGTCCCCATTTCTCATCTACCCAATACCATCTCAGTGACTATTTACAAAGTTTTGGTTCCCTTATCTTTCCAAATGAAGTATAAAGAAATAGTCACTGTCACAAACTGAGGCAGGTGCCCAGGGAATACCCACTGATAGCAAAGGGAAAGCGAGAGGACAGGAGTTATTGGTTCCCTTACAGGTGATGATGAAACCTGCTTGGAATGGTGCCCCTAAAGGACAAGCTTACTATGTACTTCAATACACAGTGCTCCTAGAAGAATGTTTCTATGTGTACAGTCTGCTGAGGAGAGGTAGAGAAATGGACTAATGAGGTGTCAGGCATAGATTTGGGACCACTCTTTCTTTCTAGTTGGGTCACATATTTGTTAAGATAACATAGCAGCTAATCCAAAAGAAGAACAAGACTTGCTAAGATGGAGTGTGCTTGGTTCTAGAATTTGGAATAGAGGGAGACCAGCTGGCTTAAGTGCACGGAGAATAGGGCTAGTGCTAGTGCGGGTGCTGAATGCAGCCCTTTCAGAGCGAGAGCTCAGCACCAACTGACAACCCCCTCGCAACCAGCTGTTTAAAATGGCCAGTTTACTCAGCTTCTCAGTCACCACCTCAAATCATTTGTAGAAATAGGGTAAAAAACGGGCAAGAACTTGGGAAAAAACAACTTTTCTAAGTCAACAACCAAAACTTACCCAGTTTCTTTATAATAGTTCAGAGGGGACACATGATGGAGAATGCAGGGATTCCTGGCCTGATAGACTGAAACTTCTGACAGCAGGAACAATGTGACAACCAATGAAGTAGAGCTGAAGTGCCATGACCTCCTCACTCTAAAGAACTTTAAAGGACGAGAAATTAAATCTATGTTAAGACTATCCACAATCTGTATGTATTTCACTGGATTTGCAATTTATTACAGAATTTTATTCTTCTGGGAGGATAACTCCCTTGTTTACTTACCACATTAAACACTCATTTGGGTATGAATGAAAATCTTAAGGACACAGTTCTGTTTATAAATCTTTTCTTCTCTCAAAGCTTATTTCAAAAGGAAAAGTGGTAGAACAAAATGGAGGAGTAAGGAGGCCTACAAGGGGAATACAAAAGGCAACTTCAGACTAACAGGAAACAATCTCTGAAATTCAGTTTCTGTGCTCAGTTTTGTCCATAGGACCAACATACTTGTGTTGTAATTTTTAGGTGAGATGCCACTTTACAAAGCCCACTATTTAGTTACTACCATCCTAAGTGTTTTGGTCCCCAACTTTCTAACACTTACCCAACACTATAGGCATAATATTTAATATTTTTCTTTGTGTCAATCCTGGGGTATGAACTCAAGAGCCTGTCCCCGTGCTTTTGTGCTCAAGGCTAGTTCTCTTGAGCCACAGATCTACTTCCAGCTGTATTTATTTTTTGGTAGTTAATTGAAGAGAAAGAGACACACAGATTTTGTTATAATGTTCTCAATGAATCTGATGAATCTTTAAACTCTCATGTGTTGGAGATTCCTTGTGGTATGAATTCTGTAAATGAACAATATGTTCATAGTGAAAACAGAGTGGCTGAGAGCCCCACTAGTGTACACACAAATTCTTTTTGCTTCTGTAGGTTTGTATTCTAATAATAATAGACTGCTTAAATTTACAAAACAAGCATGTACTTCTTTTACTGCAAGCTGTTTTTAAAAAATAAAAACTTTAAGTGTGAATACCATTTGGATTTCTTTTTAAAAACGCAATTCCCAGAGCGACCTAGACTCTGGGTTCCAGGACTGAAATACCAGACCTGGGAAACAAACTCCTCAGCATGCTGGCTCCTTCCTGCCATGTTGGGAGCCTCAAAACTGAAATGCAATCCTCCCATCGCCGTCCACGCTGCCAGGCTATAAATCAAATTCAGATTCGGGGCTTTTGATAGAAGCTGGCACAGGGAGAGGAGTAACCCAAAAAGAAGTTAGAGAGCCCCCTTTCCTCAGCCTTCCCTTTCGAGAGACAACCCGAGGTAGCAGAAGAGCACTGTACGTGGGCACGTGTGGGCTGGGCCGCTCGGAGCCAGGGTACACGGACCGAGCAGGGTGCCGTGTCCACCTTCGCGGCAAAGGTGTGTGCGCCCGCGTGCGTCCCGGAGATCTGCTCGGCCTCCAGGGTAAGGACGAACAGGCCGCTTTGTTCGCAGCCTGTGAAGGCGGGAGCCCAACCCAACCCCGGGCAAAGAAGGCACCCGACTCAGCCGCGGGCGCCCATCGTCAGCTCCGGGCAGCGCGCGAAAAATCGCAGTCACGATCCCCCGGCCCGAGCCTCCCGCTACGCTGGCAGCGCGCGCGGGGACAGCCTCGCCGCCTCGCCGCCTCGCCGGCGGCGCGGGCCCCGCTGCGTCCCTCCGCCAACGCGGGCGGCCCCACGCGCCCGCCACTCGGCCGCGCCGCCAGCCCCACATTCCATTTAAAAATAACACCCACGTGCGCTGGTAAACAAGCGCGCGCCGCCGCCGGGCCGCGCGCCGCCGCGGGCGAGCCGGCGCCGCGCGCTCCCGCCCCCCTCCCGCACGTGTCGGCCGGCTCCGCCCGCGCGGCTCGGCGCGGCCCAGGCCCCGCCCCCGGCCCCCACACGGCGGCCCCGCGGCCCTAGTGTCCACGGTGCGAGGCTTCCCCCGAGCGCTAAGTTTCCCACCCGACACCTGCTCGCCGCGAGCCGGTCCGCCGCCCCGGGTCCGCGCCTTGCCTCCCCTCCCGCGTCCTCTCACGTCCCCCTTTTTTCAGTCCACCGGCGTCGGCGTGCAGACTGCCTCTGGGCGCACCCTCTTCTCCTCCGTTCCTCCCTCCCCTTCTTCCTCCGAATTTTACTCGATTGTTTATTATTTGCGGGGGGGAGGGGAGTGGAGGGGGTGTCTGGGGCCTGGAGAATGGTGGCTGCGGCCAGTCAGCGCGCGGCGTGGCTTGACGAGTGAGCGGCGCAGCGAATGGCGACGCGGCGCAGAGCTCCGGGGTCACGCGCGTGTGGAGACAATGACATCATCTGTTTGTACGCGTCGAACTAGCTTGGTGCAGGGGCGGGGCCTGGCGTCACTTGAGTGACGGACCCTGCGCAAAGCCGGGAGCCCGGTATTAGCAGAGTGGGCGGGCTCCTGTGTGCACTCGGCTCTTGGACGTTTTCGTGTCTTGAGTTGTTGCGGAGCCCATTTCTAGACTAAAATATCTGAAGTGGCTTGAAGGATTTTTATTTTTAAAAGATATTTCTGAACCAAAGTGGGTGGACTTTTGGTGTGCATGTTGCATGTCGTCTTTTCGTCGTCAGGCGCTTGGAGACACGGCGGGTGAAGGACTTGTGAACATGTTTTAAACCTAAAGGCACGTCTCTTCTTCAAAAAGTCAGTTCTAGGCAGTTGTTTGGCTGTCATTTTCAGATGTGTTTCCCACTTGCAATAGTCGGACCGTGCCCTTTTCTTGTCGAGTTAGTTACACTTCTTTCCGGTGTGGTAGGACTCCATGAAAAGTGTTACACGACTGTGATCTAACTAAGGGGCTCAGTGTGCACCTTTCGTTGCCTGGCCCAATCTGAGGGCACTGGCTTACCGAAGTCCTGCAGGTACCAACATCTTCGCGGGTCAGTATTTCCACGCCAGTTAACCTTTGCCATCTGAGGTCAGTATCTTATCTTAGGTGTTACCTGGTGTTGGGTTCTAATGGGGAATCAGATACCAGGGCGGGCGTAGAGCCCGGCGGGCAGACGCGCAGGACAGGGACCCCAAGTGCCAGGTGCCCTACCTGGAGTAGGAGAGGCCACAGCCGTGGGGGCGGTCGGCGCTCAGGGATCCTCCTCTCCGGCTCCTCAGCCAGCACCGCGCTTTGTTGTCCTTGAGGCTCTGAGGGGAAAGGAGGAACCCAGCCCGTGGCGCTGCAGGAGCCCGCTGAGCCCCGGCCCGCAGCGCGCGCCCCGACACCCACGCCCCGCAGCCCCGCGGAGCTGAGCCGCGCAGGCGCGCGCAAGCACACACGCGCACTCACACTCGCACGCACACCAGCACCCCCGGCCCCCGCCCCAGCCCTCCCCCTGGGCGGGGACCCGCCCGCCCGCCCGCCGTCAGCCTAGGTTGAGGCTCCCTGCGTGTGTCTATAACTTTGTGCTGCTGCCGCGGCCGCCCTGCTCGTGGAAGGGAGGAGGAGGAATGTGGAAGGCGGCGGCGCGCAGGCTGACAGGCGGATCCTCGGGCGGGCTGCAGCGGCGGCCGGAGCGCCTCTCCTTCGCCGGGGTTGCGCACCCCTTCCTCGCCGTGCCCCGCGCCAGCGCGGGATTCTCTGTCCTCCCGCCTCGTCCCTGAAGGGAAGAACCGAGGTAGGCGCCGGAGCAGTGCAGCGGGGCGGCCGCCTTCCCGGTGACTCCGGATCTGCTTCCGTGCAGGGCAAGGCGCTTCCCTTTTCCCTCCTCGTGACTCGGTGTGCGCGCCCCTCTTCTCTCCCGCTAGTGTTTTTAAAGGACTTAAGGGAAGAGGGGGAACTGTCAAGATGGCAGCAGTGGGAGCCAGGAGGTGATGAGCGTGCTGGTCCGGGTTTTCTGGCAGCCCGGGCCACTTGGCGCTTCCCGACCTGTTGGAAGATTTACGTTCCGACTTGCTCCCCCTCCTCCTCCCGGTTCCCGGCTGGGGAAGGGGCGGGGGGCACCACGTCCGCGAGAAAAAACAAACCCACCCCCTTGCCCCCCGCCCCCGTGGCCTTTGCTGCAGGGCTCGACCCTTTTGCCAGCACCCGCCGGGCTGCTGGCTCCCTTTCCATCTCTCGCTCTCTTTTTTGGAAGTGACAAGGGCCAGTCGGCACTCGATCCCTGTTCGCCCTCCACGTCCTCGGGCGAAAGGGGGGGGGGGGAGGGCAAGGGAGACTCTCGCGCCATCTCTGGGGCTCGGGCCACGGGGCTGGGAGGAGTCGGCCCGGGGACCGCGGAGGCGGCGGGGCTGCGGAAGGGGAGCCGAGCCGAAGACGCCACAGACTTCGGTGGTGGCGCCGCGGGAGGTACTAGAGCGGGCCGGAGCGAAACATAAACAAACGCACGCCCGCCCCACCGACCGCGGCGGGGCTACGCCAGTCCCAGCCGCTGCCCACTTGGAAGGCGCGGCCGCCCCTCCCCCGCCCCCCCCCGCCCTCTACCCCTCCTGCCGCGCGTCCACCTAGCGCCGGAGAGACCCGCAGCCCGGGCCGCGGCGGCGCGGGAGGGGGCTGCCCCGTGCGCAGCTGTCGATTCGCTCGCGTCTCCCCGGCGGCCGGGCCAGGGGGCGGTGTCTGCGGCGCCAGGTTCGCGGGACGCACTTCCCCAGGTCTGCCTGTTCCTGGGCTGCGGGCGCGGTGCGGTGGTGAGGAGGAAGAGGGTGAGGACTCGCCCCGGAGTGGGCTCCGACCCGGGAAAACCAACTCTCTTTCTCTCTTCGCGCTTCCAGCGGCGCCCCCGACCCTCTCCCGCCGTACCCCGCCCCGGCGCAAGAGGAGAGCGCGAGTGCCCGAGCCGCGGGCCGGCGGGCCGGCGGCGAAGATGGCAGAGGGACCGGCCTCCCCAGTCCCGCTCTCTCCCCTCGAAGTGGAGCTGGACCCGGAGTTCGAGCCTCAGAGCCGTCCGCGCTCCTGTACGTGGCCCCTGCAGAGGCCGGAGCTCCAGGCGAGTCCGGCCAAGCCCTCGGGGGAGACAGCCGCCGACTCCATGATCCCGGAGGAGGACGACGACGAAGACGACGAGGACAGTAGCGGCCGAGCCAGCTCGGCCATGGCGATCGGCGGCGGCGGGAGCGGCGCGTTGGGCTCCGGGCTGCTCCTGGATGATTCGGCCCGGCTGCTGGCTTCCGGAGGGCAGGACCTCGGGTCCGGGCAGGCTCCCGCGGCGGGCGCGCTGAGCGGGGGCCCGCAGACGCCTCTGCAGCCCCAACAGCCACTGCCACCGCCGCAGCCGGGGGCGGCTGGGGGCTCCGGGCAGGCGAGGAAATGCTCCTCGCGTCGGAACGCCTGGGGAAATCTGTCCTACGCCGACCTGATCACCCGTGCCATCGAGAGCTCCCCGGACAAACGGCTCACTCTGTCCCAGATCTACGAGTGGATGGTGCGCTGTGTGCCCTACTTCAAGGATAAGGGCGACAGCAACAGCTCTGCCGGCTGGAAGGTGCGTACCCACCCGGGGCTGCTGGCCCGTCTGGCCGGGCTTCCTGCGCAACGCCAGACGCGCCTAGGATCCCACGGACCCAGCGCAGCTGCAGGCGTCAGGGAAAAGGGTTAGCAGAGGAGTCTCAGCTGTGTTTTGTTTTGTTTTGCGGGGGGCGGGGGAATGTCTTTTACTCCACAGGAAGGAGAGTTTGGGGGAAGGTCGCCTGCGGGAGGATTCCCTCCCCCCCTAAAAAACAACCTTGGGCATGACCAGGTAAGGAGAGGTGAGCAAGGGACACTTACGAAGGAAAGGGCAGATGGACTGGAGTGCATTTGCAGGATTACCCGGACAGCAGCAAGGAGGTAGGTCCGAAGCCAACTTTGAAAGCCAACTTTGTCCTCCCCTGCAGGGAGGACACTGGGCCTGGAGCGAAGAGGGTGAGAGGAGAATGTTTGGGATTTTGGTTTCCAGTTGGTCACCACAAGGTGAACTAACTTACTTACTGAATGTGCTACCTTTCTGAATAAGAACCTTGGGTTCAACTTTTAGGCTTTGTAGTCAATTGTCCCGCAGACGCTTTGATCCCATTATCAAGCATGCAACAATTGCAAACGTCCTGGTCAGTCCTCATTAATTTCTGGTGCTTAAACGCTTATTCCTAAGAGATCTGCCCCTCGGGTAGCCTCTAAAATGTTTTGTGCCCTAGAATGGTCAATTTTGCTACTTAACATAGACTACCTACACCTGCTGCTCCTGCAGAGGCCTGGGTTCTGGCACAGTGTGAGGCAGGTGTCAGGTGTGGGGGACTCTGAGCCTGCACTTCAGTTGGGAGCAAGGTCTGATGTCAGGGCTGGCTCAGGCCATAAAGGCTTCCACCTATAAATGAACCTTTTCAGCCTCTTGGGGCATAGGACACGTGGTAGGGAGAAGTGTGGAAAGGCCTATGATGTAATGACTTCCTGCAGTTGGGCATCCAAAGAGATTAACTCCTGCCCTGTTGGGCTGCTGATAGCCAGGGCTCTGCTCTTTGTGGGCACCTCCCTCGCATTCCCCTCTCCGCCTCCATGAATATGTCCGAACTACTAGAGAAAAATCCACCATAGATGGAGATACATATCACTTACCAGTTTTATTTGCAGGTTAGGTTTTTTTTTTTCCTCTCTGTTTTGTTAGTTGCTTTCTTCCTCTGTCCCTTCTTGAGTTGTCATTGGGGAGTCATGTTTTCATTGGGTCCAGGTTTTCTAGGTGTTTGAAAACAAGAACAATTTCATTTAACTAGAGAACTGGATAGAAGCACTAGAGATGAGCCTGTATATGAACAAACTAAAGAATTTAGAGTGGGCAGCGTTTTAATTTGCTTTTAGAAACATTTTGTAATCAAAGTGCCTGTTTTTTTTTTTTTTGTAATGCTTAATATTGAAGAGGCCTTGTTTAAATACTTTGAAAGCAAAATATGTACTTTGTATCCCACAACTGTCTCACTACAGGAAAATACAGATATTGGCATTATGAATCTTATATTTGATCTAAAAGCCACTTGTGTGATCTGAGGCCTCTTTATACAGAGTTAGTATGGTTCAATGTATTGCTACTGTGATAGCTTTTAAAAGTAGGTTTGTCAGAAAGAAAAAGATTTTTAAAACTTAAGGAGAAAAGTCAAACAAAATATAAAAAGAAAACTAGGCTTCTAAGTAGGTGGCAAAGGTTAATGTCAGAGTAAAGTCAGGAAGGGGGAGGTAAGTATGTAGAATTAGAGAAAATGGACAGCATATATTTTGTGGTTGTTTTTAAAATATACTTACCAATTCCATTTCTTAGTATCATGTGGCAACTAATCCTTGAAGACAAAAGGGATATAATTTAGGTTGAGTTTTTGTAAGATGACCTTCATCAAAAGATGCAGCCATGCAGGAACTTCCAAATCTTTGATGATAGAGAAGGCTTTTGAAACTGGGGCTGGTTTCATATTCTGATTATGACTAATAGCCAATCTTTTTGTGTTGGTGGCTTAGTGGGGGTGGAAAAAGGGGGGGAAGGAGAGGTCAGGAACTAATTGTGACCCATTTCCATGCATCACACTTTAGGAGTTGATTCCCATTGTGATTAGTCATTTTGGAAGCATGCATCTTCTTTTAAATCACACTACTCACATTCTGAGTTATGCATTAGGACTTTAACTTCCCAAAATGTCTAGAATTCAGGTTAACCTCTCCTACATATGTGGGCATGCAGGGCCCACAGGTCAGGTCTAGACCTTCTTTTGTGGTTTTTTGGGCCAGTGCATTATGAGATCTTATAACTAGACTTATCACTCTAATATGATAGAATGCAAGAATTAGAAGGGAGGCTTTGGAAATTGGAATTTAGACCAGTGGTTCTCTGTCCTGTTTATGTCTTGGTACTGGAAACTAAAAAAAAAAATACCAGTACCCAGTGAATCTGACTTAATTGTGCTGTGTATACCTTAGCATTAGAGTTTTTTTCTTCTTTTTAATTTCCTGAAGTGATCCTAATGTATAGCTAGAATTGTTTGCTGATCTGGTGAAGAACTTGATTCTTCAAGAAGTTAAGGACTTTTCTAAGATCATGAAGCTAGTTAGTACAAAAGTAATTTAGTAGCTGCAGTTCTAGAAGTCTTTGTTATCACACTGTCACACTGTTTTCTTTCTTTCTTTCTTTTTTTTTTTTTTTTGGTCGGTTGATGGCTTGAACTCTGGGCCTGAACGCTGTCCCTCAGCTCTTCAGCTCAAGGCTAGTACTCTACCACTTGAGCCACTGGGCCACTTCCAGTTTTCTGAGTGGTTTATTGGAAACAAGAGCCTCACAGACTTCCTGCCCGGGCTGGCTTTGAACCTCAATCCTCAGATCTCAGCCTCTTGAGTAGCTAGGATTACAGGTATGAGCCACTGGCACTGGGCTACACACACTGTTTTATTTAAGTTGACCTTTAAAAAAAGTAATTTACCAGGCTGGGAATGTGGCTCAGTGGTAGGGTGCTTACCTTGCATGTATGAAGCCCTAGATTTGATTCCTCAGTACCACATACACAGAAAAAGCTGGAAGTGGTGCTTTGCCTCAAGTGGTAGAGCACTTGCCTTGAGCAAAAAGAAGCTCAGGGACAGTGGCCAGGCCCAGAGTTCAAGGCCCAGTACTGGCAAAAAAAAAAAAAAAGTCATTTACTAAGTAATGAGTAGTTTCTTTTCTATTGAATTAATTCTCTTGTCCTTTTATTTATGTCTGAAAATCTTATCCACATCAATTTTCCTTTATTTCTTTTACAGGTTGGGGGGAGTATAACTATAACCAAAATCTCTGTGTACATTCTTCAGTTTTAAGATCAGAAGGGATGATGGTTATAAGGTTTATATTAATTCTTTTGGTAATGAGTAGTTTTAAACATGTAGAGGTTGCTTTCCTGAAAAGCATGTTTGACCCTCCATCCGAAAGCACCTTGGTTCTAATTTCAGCATCAGGACATATATATGTTGCTGAAGGCTGTGTGAATATGCCATATTTATGTTGCTGCACAGTGCCAGTTGGTATAGCTGTTAGGAAGTATGAAGCCATACAAATGATGAGAAAGATTCCATTTTAACAAAAAGAGGAAGCCTTTGGTCAAAGTACAGTTGTCACAGTTGTCAGATGCATACTGTGCCATGGAGAAGGATGATGGCTATCTCACAGGTCCCTTTACCTCAGACATTAAAGTAGAAATGAATAATCAGATGTGGTTAGAGGGGAAAAGGTTATATTTTCTTTAATTCAGATTAAGACTTCTTGCAATGCAACCATAGTTGAAGCAGTGAGTTCTCTCAGTTCCCCCTGCCTTGGGGACCTCTAAGGATCAGAGTTTACCAGGAAAGTCTATTTATCACTTACTCCCCTGCACATACCCACACTTACATTTCCTGTGGCTCAGGGCAGGGTCATACTTATAGGCAGCCTTGAGTTTCTTGGGAGTACTGTGTGAAGACTTCTGCTGCTACTGCAGAGGTCAAGCTGAGCCTCCCTTCACGAGAAAATGTGTGCTTCTGTGGCTTCTTGCCAAGGTAAAAAGATGAGGGCTGACCTGCCCCCAAATACTTCTTTATGTACTTACTGTTCTTAGTCTAGAGATTCTTGTACCTGTTTTTTCCCCTCATACTGTATTGAGAGAACATTGTTTTAACTGCAACTTAGTTTTAAAATTGCAAACGGACAAAGTTATAATTGCATGTTGGATGACCAATAATTCTTGGAATAACTCACCAAAGGGCCAGTTATGGTAGTGTGTGAAGAATCTGTCTTCTGTTAGACTCATGTTGCCAAAATGATGTTTTGTAATTTCCTTTGGCAGCCCTGTCTTTGTCAGTGATTCTCAACTAACATTCTTCCTCTTTCTGCTGTGACACTGCACCAGGGCGACTGACTTTCCTCTTTTCTCAAAGCTGTGTCACTCACCTGTGAAGTGAAGAAATGGGACCTTTTCAACTTTAATCTGTGAGCCCTATGTAGCAGAGAGATTCCTCAAAAAAGAAGCTAAGTGTGTGTTTTATGTGTTTATCTCCTTCTTAGAAAATGAAGTGAAACTATAGCAGACATATTTTTAGGAAGGTTCTATTTTAAGAAAATGACATGATAGAAGAACATCTTGACGTTAAACTTTTTAGTATCTACCAGCTTTTTTTTTTTTTTTTTTTGAAAATTGATGGAGAGACTGTGTCTACTGAAAAGTCATTTTCTTGGGATAGAGAAATTTTTAGCAGATACCATATGTACAAAGTCATTGGTGACAGTGCAGAGACTTGAATTCCAGATTTCTAGGCTGGAAAGAATGAAATTTATTTTGCTTTTCTATCCATTAATCTTGCCTGTGGGAACAAACATGATCCCTTTCTTGACTCCTCAGTTCTCTTTTTTGTCTTGTGTCACAAACTGAAGGGTCCTGAAGAGCCCCTTTGCCTTTGTGCTGTATATTAGAAATAGGTATGTTAGTGGGTATTCCAGCTGGTGTACAGTAATGAACATGACATTTTATT